CTCACTATCCAATCATGGAAGGTTTTTCTTTTTTTAGAGCTTATTGTGCCATAATTTGTTTGGCACACTGTTTGGCGTCAGACGTTTGTGAAAAATATAAATACCTAACCCTATATCTTCCTCATGAGATGACGCATATAATGGACGTTACCTCTCTCTTTTCATTCTGTATCAAACCTCGTTTTATTGTTTTAGTCGTGAAAATGATCATTGTGATACTTGTTACAGACCCCGAGAAGAAATTCGTAAATATTTTGTTCCATTTTTTTCCGCGCACCGACATTGCGCCCACAAATAGAAATTTGCAGCAATTGAACAGTGTTGAGCATGCAATTGGAACGCACACATATCCGGTCCGATTGTGATCGTTCGAACAAAAACGTTTAGCATTTGACCGCGTATCACAGAGAGAAGGGGACAGGATAAATCACGTGATTCGACAGTGGATAAAGGGAAATGTTACTGCCCCCCCCCCCCAACGCACACACACACCCGCAAACCCGAATCCCGCTTAACTGATGCATGTGATCGACGAACAGAATGATGTGGTTCTGAATCATTCGCAAACCCATTAACTCAAACAGTCCGTACGATTGCAGTTGTTGACAGAGCACGTGCCTCATCGAAATCCGGATCCCGCCTGGATGATTGCCACATACTGTGGATCTCTCGGGGACCAGGGAATGTGATTCAGACAACGCAAACCCTCAACACTACCCTTGCAAACTACGTGTGCACTCGAAAGGCTCGATTAGTAGATTGTTTGGTGGCAGGGTGCTCTACTGAATAATGATCCTCAGCAGATACTTGGCACAGACCTGTTGAATAGAATGCGGATTGTTTGGTCAGTCCAATGAAAGAATGAAAGCCATTTATTTCTACAGATCCAGAACAAATCAGATTATATCTGTGCTTGCAATTGGCATTTCGAATTTTTCGTCAGTGCCGACTGAAATCTCCGCCAGAGATTTCACTTATTGCATAATCTTGTTCAATTTGATTCATGCATGTTTAGAGTTTCTTGTGCCTCAACAAACCCTTTCACTTTTATTCACTCTATTGCACCTTTTAGGGCCATGCAGTCGCGAAACACGGTGGTTGTCTGCTATTATTAGGTCCCATTGTTTCAGGGTGATTCAGAAGGGGGAAGTGGCCAATCAAAGGGTTGCCATTCAACACACAATGGGGAAATTAGGCAGTGGTGATGGGATTCGAACTCACATCCACGGGGTGATAATTTGGTAACGTTACCTCCGAGCCACCACCGCTCAAAATTTGAAACACACATCGGCGTATGTTACATGTGGGCGTTCTATTTATTGCGTTTGGGGTTATTTGGTCGAACAGAAGTTTATCCCCAGTGTTTCCATCCGGAATATAGGGGGGGGGGCGATCAATAATTAACAATGACAGAATACATTCTGTATGTTTAAACATTTCTCTGATCCTTCACTACTTCACTTCACCTTACTAAGGGTGGCTCCTTGGAAAGGATAATCCGCCTCTATGAATGTCTCTGTAGAAGACATGATCATGAAGTTACTTGGGAGTTTACTGCGAGAGACGTCCCCAGCGTCACTCAGCGTTTTTTATTTCAAGGGCGCATATCTAGCCTTTGCACAACCAAGTGCGAACTGCAAGGCAGCAGGAAGTTATCCCCTGCCTCGGAAGTGACGGGGTTAATTACTTTAGTTTTAAAAAAGCCCAGTCACATCGATCTTTATCACGACAGCTTCATTGAGCTTATGAGGCTTTTAAACAGGATCTAGGTGACCAGCCTGAAACCCACCACACTACGGTAGTGCTACTACTGTGTGTTCGCCGTTGCTTATTTGTTGCGGTATGCCACAAATTATTCACAGCTAACCTTATTTGGTGAAGGTCATTCCCTATCCACAACCCGGGAACGTGCCTGGTGTCATTCAGCTCCGCTTAACCCGAGAGGATTCTCCACCCGCTATTCAAATTTATTACATGTTACGCAATCGGACTGATCATGGTAAAGCAGTATGTATTACCTAGATAGATACCTAAATAGGTACTATAAAACGCACACAGTATGGAACGGTTCCGGATTTGATAAACTTTCCGTAACAAAATTAGACAGTACTCCTGTGTTCTGTGTGTTAGTTATGGAGAGGTATCGCTGAGAAAGCGTTCTTGCTGCTCATCCACTATTGGCGAAAATCAGACTCCGGAATTTCTCCCATTATTGATCTCTCATTGATCATAACTAGAGCCGGTGAAACGACTATAGAACGTGATGTAATATGAACATGAGTGTGTGCAATTTTGGGGGAGAGGAGAACATTTACTTGCAAGTGAGAACAGACAGACCTTAGAACTGATACCGTCAATAAGTGTGTTATAATGTTCAACTTGTTACCATAAGAAAATCGTGGACACATCATCATGATATTTTTATTCTTCTGGTGATGTCAGTGTTCTCAGTGATCCCGCTACTACTACTACTACTACTACTACTACTACTACTACTACTACTACTACTACTACTACTAGTAGTAGTAGTAGTAGTAGTAGTAGTAGTAGTAGTAGTAGTAGTAGTAGTACTAGTAGTAGTAGTAGTAGTAATAGTAGTGATAACAGTTTAGGATGCTGGATCTGATCCCATTTTCGAATAGACTGGAAACACTTACAGGACGGCTCCAGGCAACGCAATCTGAGTTCGTTTACAACTAACCCTGTTCCAAAATGGCCGCACCATCCTTGGCTACCGCGAGACGCTCTCAATGCGTGCAAGACATGCAAAATACAAAACGCGATCATGAACCAAAAGGTCCAGTGAGATATGTACACGAGTCACACTGCGCCCGTGTCTTCCTTATAATAGGAGTAATAATAGAAAGAGGGAACATTTCACGCTGTTGGTAAACCTGCGCCTCGAGATATGCGCACAGACCTCAGAATCATTCCTCTGATATCGAAATTTAGTGGTAGGCGGTCATGTAGTGCCAATATTGAAGAATATCACATAGTGTCGCAACTTGTCGCCACTAAACACATTGTAAATGTGACCGAAGCGTTCCGACCCCTGTACAGAGTGGAGACGGAACGGTCTAGACATGTGGCCGGATTGCCGACAAGTGACCTGTCATGAAACTTCGAAACAAGTGATAATTGGTTATCAATTATGACATAAACTGTTGAATATTTAAATAAATATCCTTTTTTCCTTGTAAATCCTTCTCTGTTACTATAGTCATATTTGTTGTGTTGTAATGACACAATAAAGACACACTGAAAATGAGCATGTTTAATAATTTGTGTTCACAATATCATAGTTGACATATTATTGATTAGCAAACACAGTTGTGAACTCCATTTAATTGTTCGTCTAATCTTGGATCATATATGCTTGATCTCTCTATGACATCTGTTAATGTTTCATTGTATCCTTTGTTTTAGTTCGAAAATCTAAATATTGTTAGTTTGAACGAGTCTCGCGCGGAGCACTTTGTAAACAACCTACAGAATAGAGAACAGCACAGGTCTCATAATGATGACAAGTCATTTAAATATTCTGATACAGTGCTTAGTCTTACATAAACGACTACTGGCCATCCATCCATTTTATTTCATCATTATCATCATCATCATCATCATCACCATTATCGTCCTTATCGTCATCCTATAACGAAATACAGTGAAGCGAGTTTCACTAATCGCTGCCAACCTTACTATGTTTACCAGGTTAGTATCACTATTTAAGGTAGACATGGATTGGACCGGTATTCAGATAGGAGAAACAAGATGGACAGTTAGGACCAACAAACAGAAAGAACAATCAGACAGTCCATATATACCGTTTCGAGCATTCTAGCCTAAAAGGAAATGACAAAAAGAACGCCACTACTATCGGTTTGCCGCCATTTCCTTCAATATCTCCGACAAACCAGTTGCGCAGTCTGTCAGACCCTAACCTGGAAGATGCACGGTAACTACCTTAGCTAGTACAGTTGTGCATTTCTTCATGCCTCGTGTCCACATCACCTATTGACCTCCACATGGTTTGCTCATGTTTGTTTGATGCCACAGCAACAGAACAGCTGTACTCGTGGAATTAAAATCTAATTCATCAAAACCCATTATTCCATCCATGTTTGGCATACGACAACGTAGGGATTCGTTACCCACTGACATAGGCTTTTCTTACCTAAAAACCGATATGTTGGGCCAGTAGTGTTCAATAGATATCTTTTAGTCATTCAACTTGTTACAGCTGATAGAATGTGTTACAATACGAAATATTTTTTTTTCAATTCACCGTTTGCGACTTTGTGAATCAGAAACAAGGGGATTAGATCTGCGCAATCGCTTTCGTTCTTACACAATACACCCGTATGTATGGGGGACAGATGTACGATTATCATGTTACTGACATTCACAACTGCTTCTTATCAAAGGTAAGGGAGGTAAAGAACAGCTTATGAGGTCGGCTGTGCCACAGAATTAAAATGGTTCTGAAAGGCGGTAAAATAATTTAAACAGAACTTAGGTGACACCCACCTGGGTGTTTACAGTTAACCCTGGGAACGAGATCGTTATGATCGTAAACACTGCATCAAAGTACAGTGGATTTCTTTAGTGTGTTTTTTCGAATTTACATTTACAGTATTCTTTTGAACAAAACTACAAATTTTGATAATTTAAACCCACGAGCATTTCTAGAAATCAGTGAGCTGTGTGAAGGACATTACATTTTTACATTTTTAGCTGTCAGTCATTTCACACGAGCGCGTAAAAATATCGAAACCTCCTGTATCTGGCATGCACAACCCTCTGTATATGACAAGGCCAAAAACGGGCCAATCAAAATGGCCGAGAATTCCGATTGGTTCACCCGGGTTGGCATGTGTGGTCAAACCGTGTGCTTTATGAGATTTAAAATGATACCGCATAGACGGGTTTTGTGATCAACTAACTGGTCAGACCGATTCACCGCGAATGTTACAAACTGATCGAGTTGATCGAATTCTAAAATGGAATCTAACCGTTCGTTAATCTTTTCCTTTCAATTTTATCATCATGTGGAATATTTGGGCTCGTGTGGTAAGATCAATGACAGTCGCATGTTTGGCAACGAACCGGCACTGCCAACTCTCTACGCGGAATTGCCGGGACTGGTGCTCACATTTATCGCACTCATTCTAAATGGACTATCACTGATTGTGTTTTGTGTGGACGAATGGGGTGGATTGCGACTACGCTCATGCTCGCCTGAATCGACTTCTGCGGCGGACAAAACGACCAGATCGACCGTGATAGCCAGTACGGATGCGACGCACGCTAACCCGAATGTGTCGTTCGGGTTGAGCAAACGATCCAATGTGGCCGGATCCAAACGAAGTTCCGTCACACTGAGTCTTCTTCTGCTCTGCGCTTGCGAGTGTACGTACGCATTCGGGAAGACCGTGTTCCGTACTTCGCTATTCACCACACCATATGCTATCTCAGCCACAATAGACTCAATGGACGTGATGGAATCGATGAAGCGACGTATCGAGGTCTTACCCGTGTTGCAAAATCTGTTCTTTTTCATCTCCGATGTCGGCCTGATGTGCCGAAATTGGTGCGTCTGTTTGATCACAATTGCACGAGCTGAGGTCGTGATGTGGCCACTGGGATCTCGGCGCTGGCAGCGTATTTTACGCACCAGACGATGGTTTTTTGTCTCATTCCTGGTCATCTTGAATATTGCCATTGTGTTTGCCTACCTGAAGCATTCCGATTTTGTCGGGAATTTGTGCTTTGATCCGGCCCGTATGCAATTCGCACTGTGGATGCACGAATTCACAATGAGTCAAAGTCAATTCGAATCGTTCGAGTTGTTTGGCTATCACATGCTTCAGAGTTGTTTGGCTTGGTGTCTGATTTTCGTATTCACTCTGATCATCATTATTCGATTGAAACCGTGGAAACAGGACGTGGACAAACTGTTCTCGTCGCTGAAACAATCACCTGCCCATCAGTCGTTGAAAAGCAATCCAGCCGCACAGTCAGTCAGTGCCCAGGCGGATGCAATGCGTCGTCGACAACGTAGCCAAATCCGTGCCACTCGTGTGGTCATAGTGATCGTGGTGATGTTTGTCGTGCTCGAGTTTGTCACATTTGTGAGTGTGTGCTTTCAGTTTGCCGGCATAGTGGGTGCACACAGTCCCACAATGCGAACTCTGGAAAGTGTGGCCAACACAATGGTCACGGCCGATTCAATTGGAAATTTCATTGTGTTCATTCTGACCTTGAAACAGTTTCGGATTATGTGTCTCCAATTGTTCTGCTGCCGGAAACGCCCGATTACGCCGTCGACAAGTGTGGCCATGCATACACCGGGACAAATATCGACTGGGAACAACGTCGGTCAGTCATCCGTCGTGGTCAGCACGGAACGAACGCAGATTGAACTAGAATAAGGCATTACTCTTATTACATTGTGCACCGGCACGTTTGGATATAAACGGAAGACAACGTTATGGACAAAAACAAAGACGCACTATGAAGTACGAGTATGTTTCGTACCAATTCTTGTGATGTTTTCTTCTTGTCTTGCGCCGCCTTGTACCACGATCCTATTTGAAAATAAGTGAGTACTGAACGTATACACAATCAACACATCAATTTGGAACTCACACACTTACGCGGCACATCAAGCTGACTGGGATTGTACACTAATTCACCTAGAACCCTATCTAAACTAATACTCCTGTTTTTCTTTCTAATTTTTTCTTTCAACACTTCACCTACACTTACAGTTCGAACTGAAAACAATCAACATTACCTGTCTCCAGTCCGTTGACCCGTACGTGGCAGAGAGACGACTACATCTGTCTATCAGTTTTCACCAACCAACCCGCACCCCGTCGCCAAGCTCCGCATCCCCGGGAATCTTTGATTTATCTATTCAACCGGAACACGGATAACGTTGTCACATCCGGGTATCATTATTACCAATATCAGAACTGTACAAACTACGTTTTGTTTCCGATTATACTAGTCACATTATTTCACGTTGCATCCTGATGCAAATGTAATCATTACGTTATTCTGTAGAGTGGTTTCATGGTCTTATGTCAGGTGAGTGTGTGCGTGTGTGTGTGTGTGTGTATGAATGTGTACAAATGTGTTCAAAAATTCTATCCTCGTAGCAAGAGTAGAAATTGAAAAAATATGACAGATTTATTTATTACTTGGATGGCGCAGATTTTGCACGCTGATAAACGAAACAATTCACAATGGCAAATCACATTGATTTAGCCACTTGGTTAACTAAAAAGGCTGTCTTTTTTTCACTTAGCTATTGTAATTACAAAACAGAACTTTTAACAAAATTTCGCAAATACAAAAAAAATCTCATTAGACATATTTGGATTATTGCATTTCGCCTGTGTCCTTGCACCTATTTAAATGATTGTGTATTGATTACGTAGGTTAAACCACAACATTTACCTAATTCGATTCACGGATGGATGCGTCTGGCAGAAATCAAATTAAATCAGATCAAGCTAAACAACATATTACAGATAAATGTTTAGGAATTTTCATAATAATACAGTGGAATTCGGAGAGTGGGTTGGGTGGAGTGAGAGGGGATAAGCGAAACAGTGTGAAAAGGGTAGATAAACATGACAGCGCACTGCGAGCAAGATGATGATAGTGACGGTTCAAAAATTACTAGATAAACTAACTTATGAGATGTACCACCAATCCTGTAATAATTGTTGTCCGGTTAGCTAAAATAAAACAGGATAAGAAAAGGGTGGACGCTGCTTCCGTGTGTGTGACGGTGCGTGCGGTAGGGAGTGTAGAATAGGCTCTGTTATGTGGGTCGGATATGAATTTAAAAAGTTCGTTGTGCATCTTCATTGTTCCAAATTCGATTGACTATTCTTTCACGTGTTTCGAAATACGTGCACACACACACACAAAAGATCAATGAGGTTATTTCTGGCTATGCCACTATGCCACACATCATGAAAGGAATTTTTCGGATCTGTAATTGTGTTTGTTTCAGGGTGAAAAACAATGGGAATTAGGCGTGGAACAGTACAGCCAAAAACGTCCGCGGCCTGAAAGCATGAAAATTAAAGTTTGCCAACCTTATTATATAAACATCCTGTACATAGCTAGCCCCGGGGGAGAATGTGGTATAGAAAGACGTTCGGGGGTATTGGACACAGTCATCTTTGGGAAGGTTGTTTACGAACAGCAGTTTAATAACGGGAGCCAGATTCAAGGGTGAAGGGAACATGAGCACATTTGGAACAGATTGAGCGATAAGCCATCGGGGTAGGAACCAATCTTTATATATCTTGATAATTATTAAAGTTTTTCATTTACTGAACTGGTGGATGCCAAATGCCTTTTTAAGTTAGATGGGTAATTCGAATGTGAAAAGATCAGTGGTCTATCGGCATGGCCTCCTTGCTCAGCTAATGGAGCATGTGCTGTACAAAATACGTGGGCGGCGCCCATGCATTGGTTTGGATCCCACCGAGACTACTGCACTTTGCACAATCTTGACATAAAACCTTCAAATCTGCCAAACAAAAAATTACTGTTACATGATAAAGGCTCAAACTGGTTGTCTCATAGATGAAATGTGTTCATCCACATTAATTCACAACTAATTTGAGCCGTGATCATTTAACAGTCATTTGTTGTTTAACACATTTGAAGGTTTTATGTCAAGATTGTGAAAGTACAGTAGTCTCGGTTCATCCAGATTAATTCACAACCAAAAGCACTTGAATTGTTTCACACTGATAGACGTTGCCTGTGGCAGTTGCTCTATATATGAGAAAAAACAGTTGAGGTAACATTGCGATGGAAATGTTTGTGATAACCAACAAAGAGCACTGGACAGCTGTTTCATCCTATTTATGACTCGTTAGCAGTGCGTACTTTTGTGTCCCTGTCAGGACTCGAACCGCGATCAGTTGGGTCCGGACTTCAAACCTCTACCCCTGAGCTACACGGCCGGTGGTCATCACCTTGTGTGACTGGCTCAATCAATTTAGAGTATCAAGCTTGGATTAGCCCATTCGATTGTTCAGAGGCACCAGGCATCCTTGATAATCTTGGTCCCAAGGAGTGAATTACACACCCAAGACTATCAAGAGTGCCTGGTGCATCCGAACAATAGAATTGGCTAATTCAAGCTTGATACTCTAAGTTGAGATAACAATTCGTCTATTTGGAAAAATGTTTCAACCTCGGAACATCTACACCCTTCCTCAGTAGAAAATAGTCATACTGTAGTTGAATGATTATGGTATAAATAAACCCTCAGCTCCGTTCCAGTTTGACCAAAAGGCTGTGATTTACGCGTCATTTGACGATGTGACACATGTGTTTCAGGGCAACTTGTAAGTGATTAAGCTGGAACATTTGGGTAGGGATCAATGAGATGAATGTTTGGCGCCAAACCTCTAACTTTCAGTAAAAACAGACGGAATCATTAGATAGTATTCACTAGGAATGGACCACTATCAACACCAGACGGAACACAAACGGTCCCCGGAATGATTGATGGTATTTGTGTACATATTTTCTATGGGGGGGGGCATAAATTATGGTGGAAACCGGTTTGATGGTGAAAATGAACAATCAAACGGCCAAAAATCATTCATATCAATGGGAACAATACGATAACTGAATCGATATGTGTTCTGAAATCTGAGTGATCCGAGCTTGACGATGTGATGAGATGTTGAGCAAAATAAAAACAGATTGAGAGAATACCTCACGATAATTGAACCGCACTATGTACATGAACAAAACATCGCTAACTATGCGACAGTTTTACTTGATATACTTTTATTAAAAAGTGGTGGCCATTGTTCATGTACACACACACACACACACACACATATATATATATATATATATATATATATGGTTTTTTTCGGAAGTAACGCTGTATCACTCATTAGGTTTGAAATACGTGTGGGTAAGAAATAATGATAATCAGTGATTATTTATTTTCTCACAATAGAACCACGTGAGTTTGATCTCGTGATATCAAGGCAAATCCAACAAGCATTTTACCATGACTGAATAAACAAACCATTGTGGTGTGGAAACGAGGCAGTCGTGGATTACACATGTTCTCCCGTGAATCGAATTTCCTCCCACTGAATATAGTGTATCGACTGCTGGGAAAGATTGAATCAAAGTTACTTACTTTATTCTCCTAGCTGGGCTCAAACTGTCAGCGTGACAGAGAGAGCGAAGTATTCACTAATCACCAAGTAGTTTTGATTTTATGTAACAGACAATTTCCAAGTGAACGGACCATGTAGAAGCATAATATCATTGGAGCTTTACAGTGTTGTGAATGTGCACATCGGAAGCTTCTACCACTGCCATTTATGAATCGAGTGAAACGAGTAACTTACAATCACGAATACCGTTACTAATACCACACAAATGCTGAGCAATTTGTTCGATGAACATCGATAAGACTGTAAGTTGAGTTATGGCCCCACCGTTCAGCCAATGTCACCGGCGTAATTTGGCTACTATGGTAGCAGACAGCTTCCATGTTGTCCGGTTCAATAGCATTCCTAGCATTGCGAGGCCTGAGTGGTTCGTCACTCTAAATCTCGTCATNGTCATCTAGGTGACCGGTTTCGATCACTGAATAGGTAGGTCTACGCAACGTTGAGGTACACTCCGCCTGTCAATCATCGCACAAAACGTTTGTGCACAGTATGAGTCTATGTCGCGTCGCGTAAATCACACCCGTAGCCCCGGTCATCCGGGAAGAAACGGAGAAGAGGTTCACTCAATACGTTTTGCGAAACACGCATGAAAGCTCTACTAATCACATTGTTACTCAGTTTTATCAGACATGTATGACAATATGGTCGGAATTAATCGTGTTTGATTTCGAGTGGAGTGGTTGTATAAAGTTATGTGTTGCACATATACATTGTTCGCGGGAAATTGAAGAAAACTGTGGACACTTATGAATATACACAACGGAGAAATCATTTGAACTTCACTTTTTTATCCCACCTATGGGTTGCTTTTCGTAATCCATACGAGCAAGAAGAATTTACGAGGTAGAAAATCTAACCTGCTAACACTGACATCTCAATCTCAAAAAGACAAACTGCGTGCTAGATGTACACACACACACGTGGTGCAATGCTGCTTTTGTTCGAATGCACATGGTAGTCCCATATGTGTACTGCAATAACTCAGCTTTGAGTTTTACCTTTCTTGGTTTAGCCATTCATTGCAAAGCAATACAATAAGCTAATTGACACCATTTTCTCCTCTGATTAAACCTTCTAAATCGAAGGAAATGATATGCTTCTTTTTTCAAGTTAGCTATGCTGTTCTTAGTTCTTTGAACAGTGTGGAAAAGATCATATTATTGGCAAACACGGAGCTCTAAACGGACTGT